CCTCATTGCACTTTCTTTGGCATTTTGCATTTGTTGTTGTTGTTGTTGTAATATCTGTTGATGTTGACGTAGTTATTAGTGTACTCGCATTTGCCAGCTACCAATATGAGTACCGCATCAACGACTGGCAGACGCAGTGGAGCAGCAATTCATGCGCGTTCTTCCCCACTCAAACTCAAACTCAATGGAGGCAACCGATGCACAGTGGTACATCCCCTTAAATTTTTTGCATAAAAATTAGAAGGAGAAATAAAAAAAGGAAAAAATTGGCGCGGTTGATTTGTTTTAAAGCTTATTTCCAAAAAAAAAAAAAACCTAATTGCAAAAACTCCTTAAATCTGCCATAAAAAGCCATCTGATTATTTAGGACTTCGAAACTTTGTCTTTATTTCAAAACAAACTTCACATATAAACCTAACCTCAAAAACTCTTAAGAATGCCATAAGAAGGGGACCAGTGAATATATGAAGCCGAAATTTTTTCCGTGTGCTTTTAATAACGTTGTGTGTGAACGCTCAGAAAGTAAGCGTTATCTAACCTCAAATACACTTTAAAATGGCCATAACAAGCGCACCAATGAATATATGACTCATATGTTTGTAATAATATTTAAACTACACATACAAAATATGGGAGTAATAGCACTCGAAACAAAGTAATTGGAAAAACACATTGCTCGGTTGAACAAAACATCTCAGTAAGCTTTAATTAAATCAAATTTCTTCTGATTTCAGTTACTTTTATTTTGTAGGTACTAGATTGCCCTCACCCGCTTCGCGTGCTACATAAGGAGTAATTTATTTCAGCAAAACTAAAAATAGGTACTTAAGCTTAGCCAAGAACGTTGGAGATTTTCGAATTTTTTTAACTCCTTCAAAATATTTGCAAACTAAAGCTTTCTTAAAGCTCTTTCTTGTTATATATTTTCAATTTACTTATTGAAAAACTTAAATTTTATCCGCCGAAATCCCACTGTGCGAAGCGCTGTGTTCAAATACAATGAAACTGGAGGAAAGTTTGAAATAGAAAGGCTAAAGAGTTTAAAAGGATATTCCAGGAAGTAAAAAGTTAAGAAAATTAAAGCACATGANCTACTGTCAACTGTCACCATTCGATTCAACTTACTAATGCATGATCGGAGCATTTTCCATTGGTCTATTTCAGTTGCAAAGAAACCAATACTAAGCTTAAAAAAAAAAAATTGTAACATTTGCTAAAGCAAATTAAATTTGTGTCCACTCGTTGAATCGTTTAACTAAGTAATTAAAAATTTATCTACTAATAGCATCATTCGTCACTCTCTTTATGCCGTTGGAATAGTGCGAGCAGCATTTGACTAATTGAAAAGCGGCGTGTAGGTGTGAGGTTTTTTATATATGTACCTACATACATACCGCACAGGATCTTCAAAAGTGGCACAACTCAAAATAACACGTTCGTCAGAAATTGAGGAAGAACTATTTCGTAGCACATGCTAATCATATGGGTTTAGATATTTTCAACAAATTAAAACAAAAATTCAGGGACCGAAAATGACAGTTATTTTTTTTTTATGTCACCTTGGCCAAATATTATAAAGTTTGAGATAAAACACATTTCCCAATAATAAACAAATTACAAAATTAAATAAATTTTTCAGTTATGTCACTTTTGAAGATCATGTGCGATATGTACAGGAATGCTTTTTTAATGCATTAAAAAGTGTATGGTTTGACTTCTGTGGTGCGTGTAAGCAAAAACCACGATTTAGTGGAAAGATTTGTGTATGTATGCGGAAAAGGAAATTTATTTGATTAGTAAAATGAATGAAAAACGCATGAAGTTTTTTTTAAATAAAACTTTTAAATAGAAGAAGATATTTTACATAAATTTGATTAGTGAGGCATGCAATAGTTAGATTATCCTGTTATCTCTGCTTCGAATTCCAAAATACGAATCTACAAATACGGTAATGAATCCTTGAAGTGAAAGAAATATTTTGTTCTAATAAAATTCCTAAAATTAGGTCCTAGCTGTTCAGCCAAACACAAAAAAGTAATATCGGCGACACTTGTTTATGCAGTACATTGACAAAGATAATGCAGAGGTCACTCCACCGTAGAGATATTCTGTTGACACGCGTCGCTACCAAGCACTCGCTTCTATCGAATGAGCTATTTTATCCCTTTTTTACGGCTAAACTATACTCCTAATCATTAGAAAGGTATTTTGATGCTGAGAGTTTATTAAATTTGAAATTAGTTTAAAATAAAGCCCAATTATCAATTTAAAAATGAAACCAATACAAATACCATACATGTACACGTTTGAGGTGGAAATGCCTCCTAAATGTATGCTTTAATTTTGCTACTGAATTAATGAAACGTTTTTAGCTGCGGTCTAAGCATAAAATCACACAGATGAAAAAGGCAAAATAAAGTAGTGAAATAGGCATGAAAAGGCACTAGAAATAGCAAAAAATGCAAAAACTGAAAAATAACACTGGTTTACTGGTTTACGAAAATCGAGTTAATTTTTTTATTTTTTGGATAAGTGTTCGAGATTTCTATAGGTGTACCTGGCGTATGAGTAACATTCTTTTCGTGATCATTTTTCATACAAAATATCTTTGCGCATTTTCATATGACCACTTATCTATTACTTGTTTATTTATGCATCGATTTTCTTCATTATCAACTTTATTTTTTGTAACAGAACATAGCCTTGAATGTGTTAATCTTGCGCTCAACGTGAGTTGATACAAGTGGCGCCCAATTTAGATATGGAACGTTTGAAACTTTTATATTATCAGGAATAAGGGCTTCTCCCGCGCAATCATCACTTTTTTAGTGGTGATTGTGAAGCGGTCGGTGCCGAACCAATTTTTAAACTCCACGTAGCATCCATACTTAGTGCGAGGTATATGTGAACAAATTTACGTATATCACAAACTAATGCAGATCATACTCTAACACTTTTAGGGTATTATAATTTTACCTAAGGCTATATTTTGAAAAAAAATAATAATAATAGTAATTAAAAAAAATTGATCGAAGTTTCTCCAATTTTTTTTTTTTAATTTTCACTTCCGGTGTAGTATAACAAAAAAAAAAAAAAATTCCAAAATTGATTTTGCATTTTAAAAAGAGAGAAATTTTCTCAACAAATCGCGATGTTATCAAGTTTTAATCTTTTTTTTTCAATACGAAAAAATGCTTTAGAAAACATCAAATTTTAGTTTTTACTATTCTTTGGAAGCCCATAACTCGAAAAGTAACCATAATATAAAGAAAAAAAAAGTGAAGAAATTCTAAAGCATCACCCTTTTTTCCGTGTAAATTTGACGCGAAATTTCCCTTCTGCATTAGTGTTATGCGCGAAAGTATTTAATAAAGAAAACAAATACAGAATTTTAGATTTCGTATATTTTAAAACCATACGTAAATATTACGAGTGCCTTCGTACAATATACAAAATTATAAGTACGGAGAGTTGTTCCATATTTTACGCATGTTTTTTTGTAAAATAAACGGAATTTTTTTATAAATTGTACTGAAAAAATGGTAAAATCTTGTTTCGTTGTGAAAAATGTGTTCGTATCATGATAAAAATATAGCAAGGTATAACCGTTCTCTCAATTCGTCGGCCATGATTTTTTTTTGNATAAAAGTGAAAATAAAAAAATGAAATTCGAAATTGTTGTTGCTTGAGTTTGAAAATGAAAATGTGTGTGTGAGTTTGTGAGTAAATTTAAAAATTAAATTGTTTGGAAACGTCAAGAATTTGAAAAGTGACTCTCAGCGGTTCTTCCTTACTATATTTTTAACATGGTTCGTATTATGAACGAAAATTTTTCGTAGCATTTTTACGAAATTTTATTTTTAGTGTATTTTAATTTAATTTGTAATACAAACATGCAATACATAATGACACCTGAATATTCTTGTTGTTAGCGTCTCAGGATAGCGGTAGCGAGCAGTGGTCTCACGCAACCTTCGCCATAATTATCAAAATACATATGTATGTACATACATAAGTATATCCATTTCCCAGAAAAAGACAAACAAATCAGATGTTACTGAGAACAATACGTATACTGATGGCTAGAGTGTCAATACTGTAGCAGCCGAAGAACTAGAAATGAAGATAGAATTAACGAAAACGGCCACGGCAGGTGACTACACTTAAAGCGCATACGACGGTCATCATAGGTGGCTTGACAATTCCTCTGATGCCGAAGAAAACACCGATGATGACGCCAAAGACGATAAAGAACGCAATGACGAAGTTATTGACAATGGCTGCCCCAAGTCGGTCATTTCAGATAGCAGCGCATTTTTGTTCGCCGTAATAGCAGTAATTTCTGAATGTTGTTGTTGTCAGTTGCGGCTGCTGCTAGCACGGGTGACTCGAGTAAACAGGGGAATACACCGGATGAAAGCGATGATGCTGGCGTTAGAATGTAATGTGTTGAGTCAACGATGTCGCTGCCGCAGTTAATGTCGCCGTTGCCATTGCTGTTGCTGCCACTGGAGGTGGATGTTTTCCTGCTGCCTGTGGAGTCGTTCGAATCAACAGATGACATGGAAGTTGCAGCTGTTGCTGTTGACGGCCTGCCGGGGTTGTTGAAATATTCAAGGGAATGAGCCGGCGTGTAACGAGCGGGACGCCGTTTGTCCACAAAGAGCAGAGACGATGATGGACAGCTGCAGCTTGTGCAACCACTGCTACTGCTGTTGTAGTGCTTAAACTTGCTCTGAGCCAACCTTGGACTGCGCAGCCAAGATGGACAACGACGTTCTACTGCAATGGCGGTGGGGACTGGAGATGTCGGTGTCGGTGTCGGTGTCGGTGTCGGTGTGTCGACGGAGCCGGCGATATTATTCTGTTCAGATAAATACTGCTCTGGCCACGTACTCAATTGCAGATGCGGTTGAACGTGTTGTTGTTTGTGTGAATTTTTTACATTATCTGCTACTGCTATTCCATTGTCTTCGCGACCAGGTAGTCGCTGTGGAAATGGCGCGTGTGGCTGTGTCATTGCCGATAAATCATTTGTAGTCGGTGTCGTTGCCGATAAAAGCTTTGACATGGCATTTACGTGTGCAACATCATTTGTTGCTGCTGTATTTAAAATTGTTTTCATTGTTGTCGTACAATTCATTGGCATTGCCGGTGGCGGAGTTGCTGTTGTGGTTAAAGCTTCCTTGGTGAACTCGGTTTCGTTGCCATTGTTGGCGCACCAAGTCGAGTGGTCTTTAGAATTTTTCATGACTCCTTTTACCTGCTCCACTTGCTCGTTGGTAGCATTCTTAACAGTCCGATTTGTCGACAATCGCATTGTATTTGTGATGAATGCCGTTTTAGCGTGCGCTGCTATCGTTGGGGTCGTTGTACCATCCGGCGTCAATCCATTATCATCGCTGCCCGCATCGATAATTCTATCATGCAGCTCTCCACCTCTACTCGCTTTTGTTTTCGTTGAGAGATTCTCCATAGACGCTGCTTTACGATGCCATAATTTCATTAGAATCTTCTTGTTTTTATCGCTATGCTTCACCGCGCGGACATCACGGCTAGCATCTGTGCCCGTAGCTTCCTGGCTCATCTCAACTACTTCAACCGTTTCCGCCTCCTTCTTGAAGCTAAAACGCCCAGGCTGTCCGCCACCAGGCGCCACATGTTGACTTTGATTCTGCTGTGTTCTTGCCAGCTTTCGTCTGCTCAATCGCTTCTTCGCCTGCATCCCATCTATCTCTGTTTCCGCTTGCTGGCCGTCATCATCATCAATCGTTTGTTTCGCCGCCTCTGCCCGTCGCCAACGCCGGCTCATTACGTGCCCCCCCTTTTGCGTTGGCGCTCCGAAAAGCTTCTGGCGTAATTTGTCTTCATTGGTGCTGCACAAATTGTATGCGCTCGTGATGGCTGCGTAGATTTTCTCGGCAATTAAAGCACGCTGCGGTGTGTAGCGATCCCTGCAGACGGGACACTTTTCAGCGCGTATGCGACAGTTGAGGCAGAGCAGGTGACCGTTCTGGCATTGCATTGCCGGCGGAGTGATGGTGTCCAAACAGACGGGACACTCGATTATGTTCAATATGGATTGCACAATGGTGGCGAGTCGTTGGAGGGTGCGCGGCATCGGTGCACAACAAAGCCTCTGTGTTTGGTTGTTGTAGAAAAGAGAGAAGAAGGATATTCAAATGGTCAGAATGTAAAAGTGAAAATAGTAAAAAATAAAGGTAATCGTTTTTAATGCGAGTGCGGAAGTACGAATGAGTGATTGAATGTCTATGCAGTGATTGAGTGTTCAGTGTAGCATTTTAGTCTGGTCATTAATTACGGAAGAATTTATTCTTATTTGTTTTAGTAGCAACTCTGTTTTCGTTACGTTATTTTTTGCTACAGCTAAATTATTTCAAATTAAATTCTTAAGTCATCTGACTGAGAGATGAAATTTTGCCAGAGACCGGATACTTTTGTTATGAATGAAATCTTTGTTTAAATAAATTGCTGTACATCAATAATTTTTTTTACACCGATAACAGCGTTCGATAATCCCCTTTTTTTTTGCAAGCTGCAAGTGTTGTTATTTGACTTGTCACAAAAAAGCAAGATATTGAACATTTTTGAGATAGGATTAAAACTGAGGACAATTTCATGGTATATTTTAGAAATAGGAAAGCTTCTATAATTCCAAATTTATGGACGGTTATTTACTAACGCAATCTGAAGAGGCAACTGAGCGATGACAAAAATCCGCTCTCAGAAATGGCACCTCGTACGACAGTGCGAGAAAGTATGCGAAATAAATTTTTTATTTATTATTTTTATTTATTCAACCTATATATTTTTGATTGAATTAAATTTTTTTTTGTTACAGTTCATTAAAGAAATTGCTTGTATTTATAGAAAAACAACTGCGTGAAGAAGGTGTTCTCCATTCCAGCTACAATTAATTTTGCTTTACTCCAAATATGAAAAATGGAACTGCGACCTCAAAATGAAACCAGCTGCCAGCTGCAACTTACTCTATGATTTTATTGATGTTTTTTTCTTTATAAAATACGCAATAATCTTACTAGTTGCAATGTCACACATGTAGGCAGATAAATGTATGTATATACATTAGGGTGATCCAAAAATACTCAGGAGGCCAACTTTTTTGAATTTTCTTTGATGTAAATTTGGCTCTAAAATTGTACTCAATATTTTGAACCGACTTCAAAATAAGGAGGAGGTTATCAATTCGTCGGAATATTTTTTTGTTTTATGTATGTTACCGCATAACTTTGGACCAGGTTAACTGATTTCTATAATTTTTCTTTTAAAGGAAAGTTGATCATGACGAAATCAACGGTACTCTTAAAATTCTATTTGAGTATTGAAGTGGATTTTGTGTTTGCTTAAAATGTACTTGTTTAAAAAAGCGAACGCATAAAATAAGAAAATTTTTCCAAAAAAGAGAAGAGATTTTGGGTTATGATATATTAATAAAATATTTATATATTTTTTTAACCCGAATAACCCTGAAATTTAAAAAATAAATAAATTTGGCTGTTTTTTTCAGGATCGGTCATTGGGACCATAAATCTGAAATAAATGAAAAAAATACATCATACCTATCGCTGTAATGCGGATATGGACGACACGCTATTTCTTTAAATGAAATTAATTGCTGCTAAATGTATGTATGTAGATATGTATGTATATATTAAACGTGAGCACAAACAAATTTGCTTGCATAGTCTTCTGTTCTATTTTCACTGCGTGTTAAATTATTTTAATATCTATAGCAAAATTTTATACAGACACGACTAAAAAGTATAAAATAAATAAAATAAAATAAAAACTTTTTAATATACCACGCTTTTATAAATGGACTAAAAATTAGAAAATAATATATCTCAGTCCCATTTCAGTCCAATTTCAGTCATTATAAACAATTTATGAGATTGAAAATGAAAAGCGTGGGGCGCATGTAACTGACCTGAATTGGTATATTAAAAAGTTTTTTTTATTTTTTATTTTATTTATATATTTATTTGTTTTATGAATACCATGCGAAATTTATATACGGAAAACTTCAAAGCCTTGGCGGCAATATTAATTTTTAACCGATTTTAAGTTAAAAAAATTCTGATTTCCTTATTTTCGATTTTTTTCCGTTCTGGTCGTGGGTGGAAAAAAATGTTTGGTTCATCCTAATACACGTGCGTAGGAATATATGTATATGTGCTTATTTCAATTAAGACTGTCCGTACATTAGTGTGAGTGAGTGTTACTTCATTTAAACATACTCATATGCATATATGTACATTTGTTCATGTGAATCAGCCTACCTCCGGTTCACATTCGAAATCACTACCACAGTTCCAAAGCAACAACGTGACTTGCCCTGATTTGGCTTGAACCAATTTCGCAATATCCGCTATGCGCAGCCCCAATACGTCTTCGCCATTAACCTGAAAATGAAATTTTAAAAATGTTATTTTCCACATTTTCCAAACAAACAATGAACACATAGAATATACATAAATACATACGTACACTTGCAGTGTGTGCGAGTACATGCATACAGTAATAGGAAAAAATTTTTAGAGTGTCCGCAAAGTGAACAACATCAAAGGTGGCAAAGGACGGCAAAGCTTATTGCAACCCTGCAACCAACTATAAATGAGTACATTTTGTGCAAGTGTGAGTGAGTGCTGCCCTACAAAAAATCGCGACTATACCATGCACGCATGTAAAGAGTAATTCCCTAAGGGTCAGAGGGTAGTCCAGTTAACTTTGCGATATCCTAGAGCAGGACCATATGTATACTCTGCATTACATCAAAGTAGCTGGTGTAGAGAAACGAGTTGGTCCGCTAGTGCATTACAGAGGAGCATTTTGTAAGTACTCCAATATAGCACAAATCGACTACATTGTCCAATGATTTTTGCAGGGGCTTTATGTGAGTATGTATGTATGTGCTTGTGTCCAAAGCGAGAGAGAAATTGTGGCTGGAATTACTGCTGCTTGGTGCTACTTGCATACAGCATTTTCTAAATCAATGAAGCCATTACAACAAAATATGTATGTACTAGTTACCGCTAGCCCATACGCCAAGAAAATAAAGTTTGTGTAAAAACCAAAGGTTACGTGAAAGCCACACACATTTTTTTAGCGCTATTCTTTCCGTCTATTCAATTTGTTGTGCTCCTTACGTGCTATATTCTTCTGTTTAAAATATTAAAAATGTTAATGATTACTGAAGTTTGTAGAATATCCTAGACGAAAGGTTCGGTTCGGTTCGGTTAGGCAAACTGGCTAGCCACTGGATGGCTTCGCAGGAAATATTAAGGTCCATAGCTTTGCCAGATAAACTAAGACCACATTAGTCAGTTAATCACTGAGTACCAATTGCAATGTTGAAGAACATTACAGTTTTTTTTTGGCAAAGTGGAACTACTTGTTGTACTCTGTTTTGGCGGGACTTCCAGATTAGGCAGAACGCCTGCTCCCAAGGGCTTAACCCGCAATACCCTAAGGGCAAGGCACTAGTAGGGAATAAGTCTTAATATCTCCTCTTTCGTAATGCATCTCCTACAGATCCTATAATTTGTTAGGATGCAGCCAATATGCAGCCCTATTCAATAATAGGAGACACTTCGTTAGATATAAATTTCCGTTTAATCGCTTGGAAGGAAATCTATCCTCTATCAGCATGATTTCCGACAGATTGCCTTCTTTGGCCAGCCTGTCAGTCTGCTTGTTGCCCAATACACCAGTGTGCCGCGCAGTGTTGCCACGAACAAAATTTTTTGCTACCAAAATTTCCCACCTTACCAACCAGAACCTACTAAATTTTTTTTTAGTTTTTTAATTGTTTATTCAATGTCAAGTTTATTAGAAATGTAGATAAAATAACCTTTAGTAAAATTAACGGCTCAATTCTGTATCACTGACAAATTTTTGTCACAATTTTTATTACGGAAAAATATATGAAAAAGTTTAAATTTCCAAGTAAAAAAAAGTTGTCGCCGATACAGAATTGATGTGCAAACTGGTTTTAGTCCTTGTAAAAAGGTTGCCACCTGTTAACAAACTTAATTCAAATTATTTAATAATCAATGCATTTTTATTAACATTTTTATTTTTGTTGCCCGGTGGTACATTTGTACATAGGAGTCAATGAAATGTTACCTTTAATGAAATTTACCTTTTTAGCTTTTTATTGGACCGACTTAGCTTTTTTATTTTTGAAGTTCTGGCAACACTGGTAACAAGTCATGGTTCTAAATGCACTAGAAGCGAACCAAATGAAAACCTACCTGAAAAGTATGATGGTACGTCTCTGTGTAAGTGCATATGGTCTGCATTTTGGCAGCTGCCTTGACACGTTTGTCCGGAAATGCCGAACGAAACTGTTGATGAGTTGTTGAGTGTCAAAACCGCAAAATGGAAAATCGATGGCTAAAATTTACGATATTCTACTTAAAAGTCAGCACAAGTTGATAGTATTGGGCTTGCACATAAATACATATGCAGATATGCATGGTTGCCACTTGTTGAAAAAATATAATCAACCAAAATCTGAAGAAAAAAAACCAAATTGAAAAAATATAACCAAATTTGTTATATATTACAAAAAAACAAAATTTATTAAAAAAAAAAATTAAAGTTATAGCTGCTATTCCGGGAAATAAAAATTATTGAAAAAAAAAAATAATTCTACAATTTTATTCAGCCTTTTTTTTTAATGAAAATATTGTGGAAAAACAACATTAATTTACATTTTGGTAGAAGTTATAGCAGCTATTTCGGAAAATAAAAATTATTGATATACTTGTGCGTTAAATCACATATGTATTTGTTGTACTTACATTAAAACCATAATTTTGAAAAACTCATTTATTAATTTTTACCTTTTGTAAAGAAAAAATTTGCTAATTTCTAATCTAAAAAGAAACAATCAAACCAGAGAAAAACTACCTAACAACCAATTTGAAAAAAATAAAAGAAAAACAACCAACAGTGGCAACCGTGCACTCATGGATTTGTATATATACATACATATATACATATGTTTCAATGTAACCACAACCGTTGTTATCGACTCAATGGCATATCAGAATGAAAAGTGCTTAAAAGCAACAAACCTGTCAAGAGCGTCAACACTGGCGATAGAAAAACGAAGCACAATTTAAGCTGAGTAAAACTTAAATTCAATCGTAGGTTTAGCATGGAAAACTAATGAGCATTTTTTATATTGCAATCGCAGTAGATTTCGAGTACTTTGTCGAGTTGAGTTTGGTATTATTTAAACTGCTTTATCGACAGCTTAAATACAAGTTTTAGTTTATGCTTTGCGAGCTTTTTGGTTAGACAAAGTTTATATTTTGAAAACCAGTTGTTAATATTTATGTAGCTTCCGCAGTTATTTTTAATGCAAGCGCTCTATCTCGTCTTACTATTAGCTGGCACTTACGCATTTTCGTGCGCTAAATATAAAAACATACAGATTAAATAATATACACAACTTCAGGTTTTCTCCATGAACTTGACCTTGTCGATGATTAGTCAGATTAAGCAACGTAAACAATAGTGCGTAGTGTGCGTATTAATCGAGTTCCGAGCAAAAAAAGTTACCTGATTGGGGTGTGTTCATTACATGTTATTACTCATGTACATATGTATGTACATACATATGTGTGTAATAACTGGTATTTTAGTTAAACGGTTAGAATGCGGAAATGTTGTCAAATAGTGTGCGTTCAACAAAAAAAAATTAATTTAAAATATGAAATGACATTTATGTGTAGATGTAAATTAATTACTTACAAATGAAATTACTTAACAACAAACCATTATGCATTAAAAAATATTACATTTTACGCAATGCTTGCAAGCTTGGTTATAATCTGTATTTGTGGATGCAAAGTATGTTCGACGAAGAAAATGAGCAAACCTTTATTATACGAAAATGAAACGTGGCTACCCAAAATCTGGTCAAGAAATCTATTAAAAACTCAAAACTTTGATTAATTTTTTTAAAATGACTATTGCACCAAGCTTGAAACTTGAATTAATGCGGTGTGTGGTAAACTGTAGCTTTATAAAAAAACTAGAGGTAGCCGGCCACGCGTTGCTGTTGCTCAGTCTAATAAAACGGAAATATGAAGATCACAGAATATATGTGATTTTATTTGCATTGCACATCTATCCAATTTCATGTAATTTTAATTTGTTTCTAGACTTTTTAGATGGGTGATAACACGAATGAAAAATGTTTCAAATTTTTTAAATACCTTTCGTTTGATACTAAAACTGTAATATTTAACAAATTTTCTTAAATCTTAATTGAATTAAATTTTTTTGAACAGGTGGTAACCCCCTCTAAAAATATTTTCCAAAATTAGCTTTCCTAAACCACTTTATGGTGCCAAACTTTATTGCAACATTTCATTTACCCTATCTATTTATTTGAATAAATTTTTTTATTTCAAACACATGGCAACATTCTTCAAAAACATTTTGGAAATAAAGCATTCTAAACAAATAAATAAATAATTTATAATAAAATTTTGAAACATGTGGCAACACTATTTAAAAATATTTTCCATGAAACCCCCTTAAACAACATTCGTATTTCATAAATCATCCGGATCTAATAACGAATGAATCAGAAAAATAATTATTTTATTTATGAAACTTTTATTTCTTGTTGTCTTTTCTGTCTCCTTGTTGTTAACAGGTCCGCTGATATTCATTGAAACGCCGCTCTCCCTCCGCGAAGCAATCCCAGCCGTCAGGGCAGGGCGACTTAAAAACTTGTACGGCTCATAAAAATAAATTTCATCAATCAAGCGTAGGCGCGTATTGAGATCATGGTCGTTGTAACCGCCGAAATAGTCCGGCTTAAAATCCCATGCATTCGAAGCGTAATAGCGGATTTGAACCCCGGCAGTGCGACTTTGAACCTCGTTCTAACAGGTTCGGTTCATTCGACCATGTAAATGGATTCCTTGATGCAAAAGCAGTAAACAAATGTAGTTAAAACTTTTTAAAAAGTTCACTGCACACTATTTTCAGGTCCAATAAGGAAACTAATTGAAACCCCCTTCCCTTTGAAAGTCATTTGAAATCTTTTCTAAATTCTCCATTTAAAATGCTTTAAACGTCGATTGTATTTTTTTCGCTAGCTATTCTCGTTCTCGAGATGATCGAATTTGTCACGAAAAAAAGCTCAATTTCCACACTGTGGGCCGCTCACCCTCCGCGAGGTAATACCTTACGGTAGCTTCACGGAGGGTGGGTTTTTAGCTCGGTGAACCTGGAGGCAAGCCAAATATTTTAAGGCCTTTAATGCTCTACAAAAAAAAATTAAAAATATGTTATACGCGAAGGCATATTTTGTAAATGTCATCAGATCTGTATAATTCTTTCGATTTTCAAAAATAACTGTATTTTTTATTTTTTAACTTTTTTTTTGAAATTTTTTCGTCATACGAAATGTTTGTTAAGCGGGGCGTTCGTTAAGCTTGCACCTACTGTACTTACATACATACACACATACCTACAAACATATATTATTGTTTATGTTTTGTAATGTTTGTGTGCAATATTTTCAATGCAAATAGTTATGTATGTAAGTCTTAAATGCATGCTAAATGCATATAAAATACATAACATATATATATTATATTTTTATTGTTTATCATGCAACCTTATAATTTTCTTAAAAAAAAAAACAATAAATGCTTTTAATATGTGCTGCTGATAAATCACTACGATGTAGTAATACAATAAAAACGTTAAATGCATGCGTCAGACTATTGCCGGTGTATGTATGTATTTTTGGCAGGAATGCAAAAAAAAAACAGAAAACTGGTAAAATGATTAACGAAACAAGTATTAAAAAATAAAAAAGCTAAGAGAATAAATTTGATCTTTTTATTTCTTTTAT